ATGAGTATTTTACAGGAAAAAGGGAAAAAATGGGTGGTAAAAATGTTAACTTGACTTTTGTAATTTACAATTAATAAGAAATATCTTAAAAATACGAAATTTCCGCAACATCCACAACATTTTTATGATCGCAGTGACATACAGTAAAACGTATACAATTCAATCACTGTATCTTCTATGCATTCAATGTTATAGAAAATTTTGATTCATGAATTTCAGCAAAGACGTATCCTGGTTTTAATATATATTTTTGTTTATAAAATGGTATTATTATCATTGTTTTCTTTTTTATTTATTAATTTTCATTATTATTTTTTTTCTTAAAAGAAAATTTGCCAAAGACTTATTTAAAATATCAATGTGAAATTTTTATCTGGTTAATTAATGTTTAAATTTTGCTTGCTGTAATTTATGATCAACCAAATTCCTACCCGCTCTAAGTTTTTTGTACTCCGGACAAAAATATGTTTTAATTAAAACAATTTTCTTTCTTTTTTCTTTTAAAACAACTATTTTATATATTGCTCAATAATTTTGTCAGCTTTGTTTGATCGTATTTTAATTCTGATTGAACACAACAATTTCTTCTGATCATACTTTTCTTTGCGTCATAGACATTTTTCATACTACTTACATGCGCTTGAGTCTTCTTTTTATTTGCAAGATTCATTTTAGGTAACGGGTATTCTCTTTTGCGTTTATATTTAAATTGATCTTTAATTTTTGGATAAAGACTTTTGTATATTTTCTTTTTATTATTACTTTTGAGAATTTGCATACCTAATAATTTCTTTTGTTTGGCATTCGGTATTTTCACAAGTGTATTATTCAAACCGGCTCGTGATTTATCTATTCTCGAAAACTTCAACGATTTCTCAACACATTCAGTCCTTATCGTTTTATTATTATTATCAATGTTAGGCCGTTTTCCATGTGCATCAACTTTTTGCGTTATGATTCTTTCCGTAAATTTTGACTCATCATTTTTCTTATTCTCACAAACTTTTACATTTTCACAAAATTTAACGTCTATAATACCGTCAGTCATACAAATATTTTCGATCTCATTTTCCTTACCATTTTGGTTACTGATTAACATAGATTCGCTTTCAAATATTTTTTCTGAATCGTCAATTCTGACTTTATTTTCACCGTTACTTTGAGCAAAATCACCTTTTATACTCAATTCATTTTTCAAAATCTCATTTTCAAATTCACTTTCATAATTCACAATGCCTCTTTCGGCGAATTTATCTTTATCATTCCTTGCAGTTTCCATCAAATCGTTATCACCATCACCACTAACTAGTGGCATAACTTGATTTTCATTTTTACTCTCATAAACTACAATGCTTTTCGCGATATCATTTTCTTTATCATCAACCAAAATTATTTGTTCATTACTTTCATCAAAACTTTTATCAATTTTTAAAATTTCATCATCAATTTTATTTTCAAAACTAGCAATCATTTCTGCGGTATTTATATCGCTATTATTTGTCAAATGTTTTGTACTACTACCCTCATAATAAAACTCATCATGTCTACTTGCTTCATTTTTTGTTTCGTATTTAGGAAAATCTTCTATAAATGTTATAACAAACTTATCACTTGACTCATTATTACCTCTATATAAAGAATTTTGAAGCAAACTCGTGTCTGATTCACTTTCTCTTTTACTTTGCTCTTTCAAATTTGAATGGATTGTACTATTACAATTTATGATTTGCTCTGATAGCTTACTTTTACCCTCGTTTTTGCAATGTAATTTTTCTGACTCAACTGTTAATCGTTTATCAATGTCTCTTCCAATATTATTAGAATTTATTTGACTCGCGTTCGATTTGACTTCACGAGTTTTATGATCTATATCTGATCGCGAATGACTCAAATCATTGTTAAACTTTCTCTTACTCTCTGTATTTACATTATTTGTTTGAATTTTACTATTTAATTTACTTTCGGCATTTGTTGATTTTCTGAATCTGGTGGTGCTGACTCTACATCGCGTCCCTCTAAAAAACAGTTTCGTGCAATATGTCCCGAATTGTTACATTTATAACATATAATATTCGATCTTTGCGTGTCGTCATTGTAAAATTGATTTCCATTGTTGCTATAATCATTGTTATAATTTGAGTAATTGTTATTTGAATTATTGTTATTGAAATTTGAAAAACTACCATTATCAAAATTGTTATTACTAAAATTGTCGTTATTGTAATTATTGTTGTTACTGAAAAAATTTCTAAAGTTATTGCACTCGCTCATAATATGACCTACTTGTCGACACCATCCACAACATACTTCATTAATATGATCAACTGTAACAACTTTCGATACTTTTGGTCTGTATTTGTTGCACTTCGACGTTATGTGATCTAATGCACCACAGTGTGCACATTTTTCTGACTGTTTTAGTTTGTTAAATACTTCGCAATTGGCCGCAAAATGATCTAATGAACCGCAAAGTAAACATTTCATATTATTGGTCTGAGGTAAAGGTTTATCCACGCGAAAACCTGCTACTTTAATACAATCCACGGAATCATGACCATTACTATTGCAAAATACACATTCAGATTGTTTTATATTTGAATTACGCCTTTCATCTTCCGCTCTCAATTCATTTTCTATCTTTACGGCTGCTTCGTAAGCATTGTCTAAATTATCTACCATTGGCATACGTAATTTAATTTGCCAAATTAAACCGGCATTAAAAGCTTCTAAAATATGATTTTCAATATTATTCAAAAGTATGTGTGCGTTATTGTTTCGGCTCTTCGCGGCCTCGAGGTCTTGTTGTAAGTCGACAACTCGCATGTAATATAACGAAACTTTCTCTTTTTCATTTTGATGAATACTACTGAGATCTTTAGTTAATTCAATGACTGATTTACATTCACCGTACGCATTCTCCAGAAATTCGCAAAATTTATCAATTTTTTTAAAAATATCAAGATTTATTATATCGGTACACGGGCCTATCATTTTCTCTTTTAAACATAAAATAAATTTTTCTTCGTTTTCATCTGTTAATGAATTTTTGGCAAGCCTACAATCCCTTACAAAGCGTCGCGTATTTTGCTTACTTGAACCGTCGAAATTCGTAATACCTTTGAGCAATTGTTTGAATAACGCGTTCTGTGATACAGTCGTCATTTTGTCGTCTATGGTTTCTAATACTTCACGGTTTTGAATATTATTTTTCCCTTATCTCAGAGACTCTATCTTTGTTATTATTCTTATTCACAGCGAAATTTTTATAAGGTTTGATCAATTTATCAATAAATTTAATATTTTATCGTCCCCTCCGTGTTCACAAAATGTATCAATAAGGGATTTGTTGATATTCTCTTCGACAGTATCAAATTCTGATTTAATTGCTTCTACTTGATCTGGAATAGTTTTCAAAAATGACTTTACTTATAAGCTGACTTTCTTTTTTTTACATCGGGAGAGCTCGTGTGCAATAAGTGTTGGTGGTTTCAGTGATAATTTATATAAATTGTCTAAATTAGTTTGTTCAATTATTGAGAACTCAGCTTCTGTATCATTGAGGCCTAATTCATTTCTTGTTTTAGACATTAAATCATTTATAAATTGTTTTCTTTCATCATTTAACAAATTAAACTAAAAATGATCTTCTGAATCTCTCGTGTCGATCAAATCACTATAAACTTTACGAAGTCTTTTTAAAGTTGCATTCTCGAAAATCTCTGTCATCAACATCATACATACAATCCATCGTTATCATTACCAGAAAAATTTCTAAAATTTTTGCAAAGGTCGTCCAATAGGAGTCCTTAGGCCGAATGCACCATTTTCTGTTACGGCTGGAGAGCCAATTTATAATAAATAATATATATTGATTTTATTCTGGCTGGTGACAACGAGGGAAAGTATATATGATGTTAGTTATTTGTGTGGAGTGGTGTAGTCGTTATTATTTGTTATAATAAGTTACAATGCAATTTCATTCATCCATTCAGATACAAAAGTTTAACTTACACCTAGGCTTACTCAACTAATTAAAAATAATGTTCATAAGCCTGGTGGACGATTCTCGGTGTAGATCGTGGCTCACTCTGCAACTGGTTGGCTGGCGTTCCTGGTCGGCTGCACTGCACTAACTGCACTAGTCTCGATTACAATTACACTCCGCATTGGACTCGCGGCACAATTTAATACAAGTCTGAATGATATAAAATCGCGGTACAAAGTGACGTGAGCTCTGCCCACCGAATAAGTTGATAGTCGAATCGCGCAGAGGCCTCCGTGGGTCCTCAATATATACTACTAGATTTCGCATACAAAATTAAGAGAAAGCACCTGTCAGCACCTGCTCATCCGTGAGAATCTGACGACAGCTTTTACTAATTTTTACGAGTTTATTGGTCTTCCTGTTAAACCGACATCGCCTCAAATTTAATCAATGCTTTGCATGGCGAGTCTATTTCACACCTTTGTAATAGGTGTCGATTTCGATGTTCTTTTCATAGAACTCGATGTTTTGACCAATTTTATAGTTTTATTTTCTACTTAGCTTGATGTCGTCAGATCCCGTAGATCGAGGCTGGTGCGTTCGTTCGTAGAGTGAAATTTCATGTTTATCGTTATTTGAATATACATTATTTTTAAGAATATTATAATTGTTTATAATAAAATAAGGGTGACGTGACAAACACATATATCCCAAAACTAAATAACACGCATATTTTTTAATTAATGAATGAAATAAAATTTTAAATCCACACTTTATTTACTTTAATGTTATCTATTTTTTGTTTTATTTAGTTGTACATACATAGCTAGCCAATTATTGATATTTCTTACATTGTTGAATTTCATAGTTAGGTTTTATTTTCTTGTTATTGTTTAAAAATTATAATTTTCATGAATGTTTTCATCGTCTTCTTCTTCAGCTGCTACCTCCTCACCTTGTCTTCGAAGTTTTTCTTTATATCTTCTTACTCTTTCCATATTAATTGTATGATACATCACCCTACTTGATAGCGAACAAGATTTTCAATGGCTTTTTCATATGGGTTGAAATAAACTTTTTTTTGACCACCTCTGCGAGTGCGCCTAGTACCTGCATCAAAGAAGTCAAATTATTACTTAGAGTATAATTAGTTTAGTAGAGTAGTTGGTTTAGCACAGAAGAGTAAGATTATAGTAGAGCTAAATTTTAATTAATAAATAAACATGGTTAAGACTTACCATTGGATACTCCAGACACAGAAGCAGCGTCATCATCTCTTTGCTGCAGGGGACCTACAGCAGCTTGAGGAGCCGGTTCTTGGTTCTGCCTCTGTTGTGGGCCTTGTTGACGTTGCTGCTGTTGAACTTGTTGCCTTCGCTGCTGCTGACCTTGTTGCCTTTGCTGCTCTTCAGCTTGTTGCCTCTGCTGCTCTTCAGCTAGTCGTCTCTGATGCTGTTCAGCCATTAACTCCTGTTGTCTGCGAAGTTGCTGATCTTGCAATGCAATATGTGCTTGCATCTTCCTCACCATGTTCTGAAGCTGCAGCATATCATTGGGTACAACAGGGTTAACTGCAGGAACTTGATTTGCTCCCTCGGGTTGAAGAAGCCCATCTGCCTCATTATTTTCCATGTTCTGAAAAAATACATATAAATTGAACTTATTAATAAATGAAAAAATTATCGTGAAGGGCACCGATAAACTTGAGTAGAAAAAACATTCTTAACCCTACTTTTTTAACTACTTTTTGGACTACGGATTATTAGAGCAAACCGACGATATAATACATATATTAAATAAATTATTAGTTATAAAGCATCTTTACTTACTTCCAAACCTGTTGATCGTAATCTGGATTTCTGTTGTCTTGGACTTTGGTGTACACCTCGACGAGAAAAATATGCTCGCGTTCGCGTCCGACGGTTACAGAGGTAATGCGGTAAAACTTCCTCTAGTTAGCAGCGCTGATTTCAATGCAAACTGCGTTTATAATCGTTGCCGGATGAGCGCTGCAAGTGTCGAGAAACTGAATTCAAGCAGTGACTACTGACATCTATAAGCGCGAAATGCTTTTTAACTAATTCGTTTGATAATAATTGTTGAATGATAAATAAAATTGCAGATATTGCTAATAATGAGTGAAAAAAATTGAAAATTTCTTCTTGTGCATAGATCTGCTATTTCAAAATTTTTCAGTTTCTCGCCACTCGCGGCGTTATGCGGCACGTGAGCGCGAACCTATTGAAAACAATGCACTAATCAGTGACGTTAGCACGCCCGTGGAATGCAAAAATTTTGCACGAGTTTTGCCCAGCAGATGACGAAAATTTGAGCTATCGAAATATTGAATTTTGCATTCTATGCGCATTAACAAAAGAGAGCTACTTATGTTTAAGGTTCTGCTAATATCAACGTCCAGTTGCTTGTTTCTTTGATCAGAACATCGTCTGCTGTTGTTTATCGCAAAATATTTTTATCTAACGTTGTGATAAGTGTTTGTGTTACATACAATATTGAAATAATTGGAGGTGTTAGAACGTGCTCGCCGTTCACTGAGATCAAAAAACTATCAATATCAATACCAGGTAAATATGTCAAAAATACATATCTTTGTTTCTTTAAAAGGTTAGAATCAATTTGTTTATTACTGTGATTTGGTTGTTGACATTTTAATATTTCTATATCCTGTTGTAAGATTTGTTTCTTCATCGACTTTTTTTATTTACAATCTGCCTAAATATGAGTGTAGCAACACATGATGTAACTTTTTTTATAACAAATTAAAAAAACTATCGTGTGAGATTAAGTATATGGACAAACTTTGTCTTGGAATATAAATTTATTGATAGATATTGAATGTTTCTTATTAATTATAGAGATATATAAAAAATGTTGAAATTATAGTGGTGTTAACACAACATTGTCTGGAAAAAGATGATTTTTTTGTATTTTAAAAATATAAATTGCTATATTGTTTTTCATATTAATTAATTTCAATACTGAATAATAATTCCTTACTTGTGGCAAGTAGGGAATCAATTCATAAATACGTTTTAGTTGGCACTAAGAGGTACTGAATTTCTTTTTTCTTCCAAGAGTACGCTATTGTATGGAAATGGGCCTACTAGTGGAGCTGCAAAAGATGTGCAAAAAGCCATTATTTTTTCAGTGTTATGGAGCTCCACATCAAAGATAAATATTGGACAATATATAAGCAATTTGGTATTTTTATTTCTGCACATCAGGCTCATTTCTATACAATGTAAATGTACCTTAATGTTCAGTCATACCAACATACGTATATCAACATACGTAAGAGTTTTTATTATTATGATTAAAATGAATTTTTTTTTTCAGCTTCTCACCGGATTACCTTGAATTCTCTAAAAACATTAAAAATTGCACCAATAATTATATTATTGAGTGCATACGGAGGCACCCTGTTCGAATCTGATCAATCGAGTGCCGGTGGCACCTGTAACTACAACAGGTTACATCTGAGTGCCGGTGGCACCTGTAACTATATCAAGTTACATCTGAGTGCCCGAGGCTGCAATTGAGCGCCCAAAGCCGCACTACGTGCGCAATATATACTGTAATAATTTATAACATTTTTTAAATAATATTTTTGATAGGTAGCCTGTACTTATTCAACATAAACCTATACGAAAATAGATATTTTTTAGATGAAAATGATAGAAATAAAATACTGGATGGTTCTAAGTTGCAAGATATTCACGTGGACAAGATATTATTTATGATAAATAAACTTACAAATAATGAATTTCGCTCTACTTTGTTTGCACAAAACCTTGATAGAATAGAAATGGTTCCTGGCAATAAGACTCATATTCAAATTATTCACAGATGTACCGATAATTGTGAAAAATGTATAGGCGGACATTGGGTTTGTCTGTATTTTAATACAAAAGAATTTTTTGTTTATGATTCGTATAGAAGTTTGAATGAAAAGGAAAAAAAGAAAAAAAAAGAATTAAATAAAGCACAAAAACTATTTGTCAGAAAATTATTTCCTTACATAGATGAATATCCACCAGTCCGTTATCCAAGAGTTCAAAAGCAAAAAAACGACAATGACTGTGGCGTTTTTGCAATAGCTTTTGCAACTTCTTTAGTTTTTCAAAAAGATCCTTCTCTTTTAGATTATGACTATAGTTTAATGCGACCTCATCTGTTTAAAATGCTTACACAACATAATGCGTTGGTTCATTTCCCCATTTTAATCGAGAAGAAAACCTCTACTACAATATTTGCTAACCTTTCTAAACAAATAATTCATACTTACCATTTCAATGATAATTTTAATGTGGCAAAAACTGCTATTAAAAATCTGAATAAAAGGAGAATTGATTCAGATTACTATACGAGAAACGGAGATAAAATTGTAATAAATTTTTCTAACCTTTCTGAACAAATAATTAAGTGGGGAGTCAAAGGAATTAAAAATTTGGACAAGGTATCTTGTTACGCCATTGCGGTTTTTCAAAGTATTTACCATAATCGTTACATTAAAGACTTAATTAATCGTTCTACGTCATGTGACTTGAAAAATTTCTTTATACAGTACTCTACGGAATCCCTCCCTTTTCATATAATACCACTAAGATCGATTATTGGGCAGGGAGAATTTTCTGCTCGAGAACAACAAGATGCTGCAGAATTTTATTTCCAAGTACCTCAAACATTGCAACACTTGAAACCTATTTTAGAATTCAATCAAAATATCATTAGATTCTGTAACACATGTCAAAAAACTCGTGTTTGTCCATCGGAAACAGCTATTTATCGTTTCTTGGCTGTACCCAAAAATAGTTCTTGTACCCTTCAAGAATTAATAGACCGTAACGAGAATATTATAACATCCACTGACATACCTTGTGGCGGAAATTGTTATGCATTTCTGAACGAAAGAGTAGAAATTACTAATGTTAACGAAGTAATTGTATTGCAATTAAACATATTTGATAGGTCATCGTTTGGCGTACGAAAAATTTCTACTTTTCATTTGGAAAATCCTTTAAATCAAATAATAAAGATTCATAAAAAAAATTATAGGGTATCGAGTGTAATATTTCATATAGGGGAAAGTATTGAAAATGGTCATTATATTAATATGATTCGCAGGCAGTGTGACGGTGGAATTTACAAATGGATAGAGGAAAATGATGACAAAGTGAATGAAAGAACATGGTCGACGAGTTCTCAAAATGTATATTTGTTATTTTTAGAATACGTCGATGATGAAAGTACTTCAAATGATTCTTCTAATGCTCCTTTAAATATACCAATTGAAACTGTACAAAATGTCATGAATAATATGTGAGAATTAAGAGTGAGACTGACACTTGTTAATTATAACTTTTATTAATTAAACACAATTTACGTACAAAATATATATGAGCTCTCGAGTAGGCGCGAGAGGATCGAGTGAGCGGTTACACAAAAAGGGCCGAGAGGCCGGATACAAAGAAAGGTGAGCGCGACATCTGGTGTAAGCGCGGAAACAAATAGAGAATAAAAATACAGAATAATTACAGATTAACAGATTAGATGAGAGTATAAAATAAGTATATCTAACACGCTCCCGTAATCGAAATTATTCTTAATATAAAAGTCCTAAACCTTTAACACAATAATCAACTTTTGCCTTGGGCAAAGCTTTAGTTAAAATATCGGCAGTCATCTCTTCAGTGGATAGATATTTCAAATCAAACTTTCCGTTCTTCAGCACCTCGCGGATGAAGTGCGCTCTTATGTCGATGTGTTTGGATCTAGCATGGAAGACTGGGTTCGACGCTAATTTTGCAGCGGATTGATTGTCGTTGTAGACTGTAATCCGAGACAAGTCGTCGAAACCAAGTTCCTTCAGAAGGTTGGAAAGAAAATTGGCCTCCTTGGCCGCATCGGACAGGCTCATGTACTCTGCCTCGGTCGAGGACAGAGCTACCGACTTCTGCTTCTTTGAGCACCAAGAAACTGCGCTGTTGGAAAGAGAGAACATGTAGCCGGAGTAGGAGCGTCGATCGGTGATGTCCGATCCCCAATCTGCATCAGCGAATCCGACGAGTCCCTCTTCGCTTCTTGAGTACGTGAGTTTCAATTTCGAAGTCCCCTTCAAATAACGGAGAACGCGCTTTGCAGCTGTCCAGTGATCCTTGCCATAGCATGAGTTGAACTGGCTCAGACAACTCACAGCGTGCGTGATATCGGGCCTCGTCCCAACCGACAGGTACATGAGTGCTCCGGTTAACTCACGATAAGGAAAGGCCTCGGGCACGTGATTCTTGCAAGGTGTGAGCTTTGTTCCAGTTGCCAATGGTGTAGTGACAGGCTTGCAATCGGCCATGCCGAAGCGAATGAGAAGCTCGTCGATGTATCCTGTTTGGCATAGCGAGATCGATTGGTCGCTTTGATTGATTTCTAGGCCAAGGCAATACTTTGCCAGACCCATGTCTGTAAGTTCGAAGCTTTCGGCAAGACCTTTCTTAATTTCTGCGACTCCAGCTGCGTTACGGGAGACGAAGAGAATGTCGTCTACGTACAGAAGTACGAATGTAAGCTTGTCGTGCGAGTCAGTGTATAGACACGGATCGCTGTTCGTCGATCGCAGG